TTCCTATTTCGGGGACCCACGGAAACGATTCAAACGAACACATCGGAAAACGATTACGGAAGTTACTATGGGATGCATGAGTGTACCATCGTACGCCGTCGGCCGTCGGTCCCGCGTCGGTATCGGCCACACTTCGCGTACCGGCAATCAATTCAAGCGATAATGAGTACGTGTTGACTTACGTAGACGTGCAGTTGGCAGTTGAGTGTTTGTGGTAGTGTCGAACGGATGCAAAATATTGCAAAGTTATTGCCAGGATCCATTCGGGTCCCTGTCATGTACGTTGCATCCGCGTGTGCGAAAGGTCGCGAACGAAAGTACCGCAAACGGTATTTACCGAAAGGTAATAATTAATAAACGCGCTGCCGCTTCCAGGTTCATGATTCGTACCCCAAGCGCCCATACGCGAATTTCTTGGTTCTAGCTCTTCGTGGATCAACCATAGGGATTGATTCCGTTGCAACGCATCGTTGGACGCAATGATCTTAGAAGGGTTATCTAATGCAGATTTTGTTTCAATTTTAATGCGATATGCAATCGAACATATCGAGGCGACAGAAAACGATGAAGAGAAGAAAAATAAATTCTTGAATGATTATTAATACAAATATCTGGGCCATTATAAGTATGATTAATTATGTTGACATTATTTTATCTGATGACAGATAGAGAGATTTATGTTACAAATAGTCACACATCGCGTTTGTAGATCGAGAATTTGTCAAGTATTTTAAAATGAAAGCAAGAATGTCTAGTTAGTAAAATATACATGACTCAGGGCATAACAGTAATGCACTGCTCTGTAATTATTCACTGTTAAAAGAGAAAAATAAATTGATGTGTTGCTTGGATGTACAGATACTATTATTATAAGATTATGAGTTTTTACCTTTTCTACAGAGACGATATATGACCAAGGATTATTTCAATTCAAGACAAGACTTCTTAAGAGATTTCCAACTTCAACATTATTTATATTGCAAGTAAAAACTGTCATGTTCTTCCTTAAAAATATTATTTTATATATTTATAGGAAAATCATCAAAAAAGGATTGAATTAAATTTACGTTATTCAGAAATTTAAAAAAGCGTTAGGTATATACTCTGCATATTTCTTTCACGTTTCTTTATATGGTAATAATTAGTAAAACAATCTTTGAATATATGTGAATAAATGTATGTATTATAATTTCTTCGTCGTTTTCTGTGTCAGGAAGGTTGTGAAATACACGACTTACGCAATAACAAAAAAATAGCGATTAAAAAATAACTTTCATTGAATGATCAAATCTATTTTTAATTAGTGAAAAAGTGGAGCATACGTTCAATAAAATAACTTAAAGCGACTGTGCTTAAAAAATTGTTGACACTCGTGCTCATTCTTAGGTAAGATAAAAAAGTAAAAATGTTGTTTTTTTTAATCTACTAAAATTGAATTAGAACTAGAATTGCAAAAATGCACACAAGGCTAAGCGAATTAAATTATACGAATATCAAAAGCAAAAACGATAAATGTGGGGAAATATACTTATTGATATACGGTGCACTCATGCCGTTAAGGCGATGATACATTAATATGAGGCTGATATAATTTATATGTATTTATCGATGCATATCTATTATATCAGAAGGTTTAATGTATGGCAAAAACTTAGAAATTACTCGATCGGAAATTTAGTTTATGAAAGATAAGAAAATCGAGCATTTCTTGTGTCGCATTTTGCGCTATTCATCGTCAGTTTAAATAGAAATATCGAATAACTCTATTACCGTATACCTCGCTGCTAAGAGATTAATTGATTTGATACTATAGTATCTCAACGACAGTAGATAAAGTGAATTGACTAACAAAGAAGGAGCGTGCCTTTTCACGCGTTCCGCTTTTAGCGGTTGAATTATTAGTCGTATTCACGAAAAGAGGTGTCCGTCCTCTGGAAAGAACGCACCGGAGCTAAGAAGGCAAGGCAATCCACACCCGATTCTGCAATAATGGCGAGAAGGAGGGAATGCACGCCTAGGAGAAAGTAAGTCGCCGAAAGTTTCGTTTTCACATCTGGCCCGGTCCTAAAGCGACCGGTTCCGATATTCTGATCCGATCCGCGGAACGTTGCTTCAACCAGATTGCGAAACTGGCGGCTATCGAGATTCGGACTGAAAATTACCGGAATCAATTGACTTCCGCGTTTCAGCATCTCGTTAGTGAGCAATAATGATTAAAAATTCACTTTATGACTGACTTGAGAAAATTGAAAAGGATAATTTCAACTAAAACAACATGCACGTTATGAGATATTGGATTATACTGTGATAAATCAATGCATCATCTGCCTCCTCCTAGCACGAATCAAAGATGGAAGTGAAAGGGTCCAGAATCAACAGGTTGCTCGATACTCGTTTTAGTTCCCGACCGACCTTTAGCCGGAAAGCTGCGGCGTCTTTGCTCGCATTAAGATCTCTCAAGCCAAATAGAATGTATAAATACGAACAATGTTAAATCCATTGCGTACACAAACAGCATTAAAAATATTTTTTAGATTAAAGAGAAATAGAAAAAATAAATTATTCAGCAACTGATTAATTGTTGATAGAATTATTTCAATTTTTGTGCAGTAATTAATGTGCAATAAATAAAAATTTTAAATTTAAAGTTTAAAGTTTACGATAAAGTTTACTTGTTTAAATTTTATATCGCAACTAATTTATAATTTTATGTGTAATAACGTTGATAAATATAAATATGTACGATTTTTCTTTCTTCCTCGAAAGCAGAATTTAAAATATTTAATGTCAAAAATGTATTAATGTGTAATTAAGTCAAAAAACATTTCAGTCGAAAAATGCCGAATGTCTAACGAATCTTTCCAAAATAAACAGAAGGATAAAAAGAGAGGAATGGAAAGGAATGGAAAGAGAGAGAATGAGGGGACTAAAAACGAAGCAAGAGATATAAAAAGAAGTACGGTGAGCAAAGAGGAGAAAGGAATCCTTCCGTGACTCGCGAGAGTCCGCAGGTCTCTCGTGGTTTCCGCGTTCGCACAACAGGCATCGCGTCTACCGGACCGGTTCTGGTGATTCAGAGCCTCATGCCTTCACTATACGTAACTTATGTCGAGCCCTCCCGCACTCTCTTTTTTCTTGACTCGAGTGGCGTACGATCATCACGAAAGAAGAATAACCGCGATCAGTATAATTGGCTGATAAATATAACTTTACTTTGATGAATATAAAACCCGGAAAGTAATTACTTCGACATTAAAAATTATAATTTTTACGTTTTCTACGAAAAACTTATAATAGGTATTAAAAAGACTTACTGCTTGAAAAAGAACTGGAAAGGATTTCTGTATGAAATTGTTTTCTGGGATCTCCTGATAAAATTTCGCATATAAAGAGAATTCTACAGACTTTTAATGTAGATGAATATATTGTAATTAAGCGTGTTATTATTCGCGAGAACACCTTCCATTTTACGATAATTCTATATTTTTCGGTTCTTCAATTTTTTTCTTGCCTCAAAATTGTTCCTTCATCGTTGTCTTTCACTAAACTACGCTCAACTACGACTAACTGCCGACGCTTCCGTGTTCAGCGGAGGTAGAACAGAGATAGCGGGATTCTTTTTGGATCCTGCCCACGAATGCCCGACCCTGATGGCCCTGACCTAAAGCGAGACACGCTTTCGCGCGTTATAATGGCCGCCACGGAACATCTTTGTCTTTTCGTTCACAACATTAAATTCGGATATTAAGCGGCTACTATTGTTAGAATTAAAAAGATTCTTTTCTCTGATTTTATTTGAATAAATCTTTAAGATATTTCAAACGTACATACAGAAATCACTTTGTTGCATTATTCGGAGTATTTTGTAATTAACTCTATACATCACCTATAATGTCCACATATATCATTTGAGAACGATCATAATCTAATAAAAAAAGTCGATGACTATGTCGTTTCGAACGATCGCAAAGTGGGTTGCTCTAATGACAGAAAACGCTTTCTTAGACCGTATAATCTGGAAATCAGTAAGAGTTTCTATTTTTATCGGCATTAAAAGGCGTGAAAAGTAAAACGGGCAGCTGACGAAAATCGGAAAGTGAGTTGGCCGACCTCGTTACGTGTAGAATGACATACTTCTTCAAGCATGTTTCAACTGACCGATCTGTGAAATTAACGATAACGGAGCGTTCCTGCGCTCCTTCGCTAAGTAAAATCGAAAGTGGCAAAATACCACAGTCGAGGCGAGACGAGGAGATAGCATTTCAGTCTGGTAGAGAGAGGTGCATTTACTTGGAAGGGGACATAGCTTCCTCTTCTACCGTACGTGATGCGGACGAGGATGACACTAAAACTTTAAAGGCAAGGTGGATGGCATCGATGTTTGTTTGCCAATGAATAATCGTGCGTTTAAAAACACAAACATCTTTCTAAATAATGTCTCACAGCTTAAGAATCTCAAGACGAAGAGTAGAGAAATAAGACCGGGAAAAGAAGTACATAACATCAGTTTACATAATTAAAAACGGCCGGAGCATGAAAAGTGTTCGAAACGTAGCAGCTAAATCGTGAATAAAAGCTCCCACGTTGTTCTTCAGTGTCCGATAGTCTGGAGCCAGGTATCGAGAGAGGCGATAAAGTAAGTAGAGACGAAAGCCAAGCCACAGACAGGACAAGTGAAAAAGTGCGGCGCGATCAGCCGGAGCGCGCAGGCAGGCAGGCAAGCAGGCAGGTAGACTAGAGGACGGTGGCGTTCTCCAAGCGGGAGGAAGAGGCCTAGGCCTAGATCCTAGAAACTGAACAGGGACGTCGATAGAGCTGGTGCTCGCTGGTGTAGGAAGGAGAGACGTCGCGTCGTCGGCGAAGCGAAGAAGGAAGAAACCGCAGCAGCGTACGGCGGGTGTGCGCGCTCGCGCTTTTGCGCGACGAGTGGGGTCAGGTTTCAGATGTATAGTGGGAGGTGGGGGCGGGAAAAAGCGGATGTTGGGGCGGAGGAGAATGAGACAGAGTATCGGCGGGCACGACAAAGAGGGAATGAGCCTCTCAAACGGCGTGGCGCTTGCGACTCAGTGTCTTTCCGGACGCCACACGTTTAAGACACGCACGCGAGTTTCTCTCTCCTTTTCTCTCTCTCTTTCTCTCCAACCTCTTCCTCTCTCCTTCTCCCTCTCCCTTCCTGTACCACCCTCTGCCCCTCTCTCTCTACCTCCGTCTATGCTTGCCCGGACGCCCGTTCCTCCGTCTTCCTCGCTCCGTCCTTCCTCGTGCTGTCTCTCTGCGCTCACCTCCAGGACGTTGAGGCACATCGTCCGTGCCCTGCCCCCTCTCGCCAGGCATGGAGTGGGACCAATAGGAGCGCCGCTTCCGGCAACGATGGTGCTCCAATCGGCACACGACGCCGACGGATAGACGCTGACGAGAGGCGATTTTGACAGTCGACACTGTGCTACTCTCAGCGTTCGCGGTTTAATCGCGCACTGGACTTAGTTTGAGTCTGGGATCCTTGTGATTCGGTGAATCGAAGCAGTGTCCTCCGCAGCGTGGATCCTGTTGGTGGTCACCTTGCGAGCTCGCGCACGCATCAGTCTGACAGCTCGCAAAAGTGTGTCTTCTCTTTTTATTCATTGGATATTGGATTTTCTCAGTGAATCACAATCGTTTCGATCCTATTGATTGTGAGTGAGTGCACTAATGAAAATTTTCTCATGTCAAGCCTACTGACGGCGAGACAAGAAGATTAATAGCGATCACGTGGTCGAAGAAACAGCGATCCGTTTGGAAAACTCGTCGGGATAATTTGATCGAACGAACGCTCGACGATCGTGGAAAATTCCGCAGCTGGTCCATAGGATAGACTCTAGAAGCATTCCCAGGGAGATTCCCGCCTTCGGCATTCAAAAATAATCATATGTTTACCACGACTCGATGCGCTCGCTTCTGGAGAGTTTACTCGGAAGCGGGCGGACAGCCTCGGTGATCAATAGCCCACAATAGGTTCAAGTGATTCTCTCACTGATACATACAAATATTGTGTTGTTCCTTTCGTCGTGAACGTCCCCCTGTCGCGAATGCGAGCGCGTCGTCCGTCCCGGCACAAGTGAAAGGAAACCTCGGAGGACTTGTCGTTAAACGCGTTGGACATTACGGGGGGGGCGGGGGGGACCGTGAGATACCGCGAGAGTAATTAAATGCGCGCGTGAGATAATCGGATGAGCTGTGCTATGGAGTATCAGCAATTGGCGCCACCACCGGTACCAGCTGGGGTGCTGCACACCCAGGCGCACCATCCTCCACCTCAGCATCAGCAGCAGCCGGTGCAGCCGCCGCAGCATCCGCACATCGTAGTCGCGCCGGCTCATCAGCAGCCGCAATCCCAACCACCGCCACCACCCCTGCCACCGACCTCCCACGGACACCAAGTGCATCCGCCGCTCCCGCCCATTCACGAAGACAGCACCAGTTCCAGGTGGTCCCAGTACCAGCACTTGTGGCGGCAGCATCATGTTTACATGAACGGTAGGCATGCATATCACAAATTGGAACTAGACAGATACGCCGTTTCCAAAATAAAAGATCGATAAGATGTATCGTCGATGTGTAACCTTCTCGCTCGGCGAGAAATTTTATTCCGCTAACTGTGTGAGTGGAAACTGAAGATGTTTTTTCATAACTAATGATTATGAATCAAACTGTGTAATGCACGTATATCTGCACTTGGAAAATCGCCTATAGAAGTAGTGGCAGTGTAGAGAGGGAGAAGTCGCCGTTCAGTAGAAACGCCCACCTGTTGCTTACGTTAGCCAGCCTACACTCGATCTGCGACTACTGCACGATGATCAACACGGAATCGTTCACGTGCGTTTGTTTCATCCGCGATGTATGAATCGAGAATTTCACGCCAAAAAACGCGTATGATTAATAATAGCATTTAAAAAAGATAGATTTGAAAGTTTTAAACCTTATTTTTTTAGTTTTTAGAAGAGACAAACTAGTTACAAACAAACTGAAGAGATGTATAGACAAAAATTGACGGTTTGAGAAAATGATTGCTCGATAATAAAAGTGAAATGAAAATATATATTCGCGTAATTAATTATTCTTAATTTCTTTAAAATTTAAATAATGCATGATGCAACAAAGTGTATTCGTTGTAATGACTGTCAACCGCGTCTTTTACCTGCATCGTTTATCGCGAAACATATCTGTTAACTAGGCGGGTCGGGTTAATCGAACATGGAGCGTGAATGAATCATCCATCTCCATGTATGTAAACGTGTGAATTCATCTATGCACCTATCCTAGTTACGGCGGATTCGACTCAAGGCTCTTCGCATTTGCATCCTCCCACGTCCTCAGCTCGTTTCGCTCCTGCTCGTGTTTGCGTTCTTCTTTCTTTCTTTTTCTTGTCTATTCATCGCCTTTTGTCGCGTACAAGTAGAAAATTTCCGTGGAGAAACTATTATTTTTTTATTTGTACACGCTCTCAAGTCGTACCAACGTCGGATTAGAACGAAGCATGCTCTATTATATTCCTTTTCTATTCCTATTCTATTTTCTATATTTAGTTCCCATATCCATTATATTTTTAACGCCAAGCGCATATATGACACTTGCACAAACAAATCAGATATTTATACTCGGTAAAAAACATAAAAAAACATAAAAAAAGTAAAATATTCACCGTCCATGCACGTTGTGAATATTTGAAAGAATACTCGTTGCAAATTCATTGGACGATCGATAATACCTTATGTTTATTCAATAATCAGTAATTTTAATAAATTACTGGTAAGTAAAAGAAGGGTCCATAAAACTAATAAAAAATCGATTTATGCAGATTATTTTTTCGTTCAAAACTTTGCCGGTTTATGTTTACAAATTAATGGTCAATGTAGCTTTTGACTGCATCAGGATTGTCGGAATGGCGATACTCGTGTCCGCGATATTGTCATCGAGCACAATAGATTAGAATCGCATTTTAGGATGTACAATACGAAGGATGGGTTAGTCTAGCCTCACCTAGTCCCAAAGCATATAGCATTGTATTGTTAGCATCGTAATAGCGACAAATTCATAGCTTGAAATTATACTTTTTGCGAAATCCGCTAATCACGTTGTTATCTAAATTTTATAATGCATAAAATGTATCATACGATATGGAAAGAATTGAAAGAGTTGAATTAAGCTTTCAAAAGTTCAGAATAAAAGCATGTTCATATAAACATGAAATTCTTTATCCGAGTTAAAAGTTTTCTCGAGAAGTGACATTTTTCGCAACTATCATTTTAAACATCATTTTATTTAAAACCTGTTAGCTTTCCTGATCGATAAATTTTCCTCATAAATTCGCGTTATCATTATCGATGTATCTAGTTTATGAATATTAACACTATGAATATGCCTTTTAGATGTTCGAACTGATTATAGAAATTATCAGACATAAAAGCCGGCTAGCCGTGACGTAAAGTCGACAATCTTGTCGATATTAAACCACATCTCCGACCATACGAGCGGAGTTTCCGAGTTAACTCGCGCACCGACCTACGACCTCGAGATATCTCCGTTCTCGACCTTGATGATGCTCCGATTATTACTTTAAAAATTTTTCGCAATTTTTATGAAAATGAATAAGATATATTTTTTATATCATTGTAATAGAGATATTTTAGAAGATCGCGCAATAAACCAAAAAGATGCCTTTCGGATATGAGTGTGCGTAAATAATAAGTTTATAAAATGCAATTATAAATTGTTTGACAATGAGACACATATGCGAGAAAGTACATACTCGTATTTTCCTTAATAGGCACGCACCTACTGTGTAAGATCCCATGCACGAGGTCTGGTGTACTGTTGCTCGCATGAGCACGCATATCGTTCACATGTATATATCTCGATAAAACAGGTGAAACTATAAAGTATCATGTGCGCGTGTACGTAAATATGCGTACACATGTGTGAGACATTTTTTTTAACGCGCCGATATATATACCGTTGGACAATAGTACGTGCACGTTGCGGAGTGCATTCAAAGCACGAGTGCAATCCACGTGCTCCGCCTTTTAAAGAAGTCGATACGCGAAATCCGATTTCGCCTATGTCACAATCGCTAGAAACGATTATTCGGGGATTATTTCATTATTCACTCACCATTGATCCTTGAGGTTCCGACGAGCGTTTGGAGACGGTCCTGCAACAAAAATTATTTATTAATTAGATCATTGATCATTATTCGAAGATGCACGTAAAAATACATATTTATTGAATTATTTATATTATTTGATACATATACGCGCGCATACGTGCAAGCACATGAAAGCATTGAAAGCTCTCTTCCTGAGTCATATTACGTAATCAAATCGCAATGAATTATCGCGACATAGCGAAAGCCAGACGCGTATTCGTTTTACATTAACTGACTAATAGCTAACAACTGACGAATCGTTTTTATCTTCTTCCAGGTAAGTTTCACTTGCGAAGTAAGTTAAGTCAGGTTCCATGTGAAATCGATCGTATCACATCAGTATCGTTTACGTATCATTTACTAAATAAAATAGAGACTTTTTTCGGGATTCGTCAATTATTAATTGTTATTCCAATTAAATTGTTGATCCAATCGAATGGACGAAAATGGTCTTCGATGGACTCGTGATTAGTCAAGTGTTAACTACGCGGTAGGTAGGTAATAATTACACTGGCGCCATATGTCAGTGCCGAGATAACAAACAATTTTTCAACGGGACAGAGAAAGCCCGTTGTGCAAACTTCTTTCCGAGCCATTCGTGCAACAATATTGCGACGAACTGCGAGAATTTTAAATCGAAAGACTTCGAAGTTCATTATTGTATCGCGATTGTACTTATACAGATAAAATCAAAATCGCGGGAATCCGGTTACTCAGATTACCGGGAATCTATATATAATTAGCTAATAATTACTGCTTCATCACTAGCATCTAATAATTGACTAACAAGATGTAATATATGAAATTAGATATTTTTTCGAATATTAATATATCAAAATATAGAAAACTGGTAGTAATAAAAAATAGTAATACTATTTGCAATTCTTCACGTAATTACGATTATTAATAATTGCCGTTCGGTGTAATTTATATAAAAAGAAAGAGATTATTATACTTTTCTTGAATCATCGTAAAAACCGGAATGCATAGGTAATATCCGCGAGTTCATCTTCTAAGCTGAATCTGAGCCGAATTGGAGAACATGCCTGACACGCGTGTTTTTTTTTTGTATTGATTGCACGTGTGTATTCACCATAACCAAACGTTAATGATAAAGACAGTACGTAAATCGGTTTTTGCAGACGACTCGATACCGACGACGTGATTACCGAGCCTCCTTTTCGAGACCTCACTGATAAGCTTTTTTCTTATTCTTTCTCTGTATAGTCGACTTCAATAGATATAATGTCAACGTATAGTGATTAACATATCATTGTAATATGTGAATTCTAAGACGCATAGAATCCTAATTATAATGATCGTAATCTAAATACTTAACGACCAATCGATGCAAAATACGCGAAATCCCGTTATTATTCAATCGTTCAAGGTTGCATTGCCGACTAGGTCAGCAAGGCCACGGTTAAAGATTGCCTTTCGATAGTTATCCGATCACTGGTATCATTTGAAATGTAATATGCAATCGAACTATCGAACCGTGTAAAAAGTGTTAATTCTTTCGTACACGTGTGGGAAATTCATGCTAGAATATAAATAGAAATAAAAAAGAAAACAGCGGATAAGAATATTTGATCCTATTCCAACGAAACATATATTCATCGTTCTTCTAGAATTCTCTGATTTTATTTCAACGTTATTTAATTAAATAATTTACTGAAACATAGATTCCAAATCCGCTATGAGTTTCGTTAATCGAGTCTGTCGGTCAAAAATTCCAGCGGGAAGTTGTAATTTCGCGATTGCAATTTTCACATATGCCGTCACGCGTAGGAAAAGTACTCGATCTCACTCGTCGACATCGCGAGACTGTTTCCATCGCGCAAACCTACGCCGTGGAAACCTGGCTATTCAGCCTTAAACCCGGAAGACAGCTGGCGTTGCGCACGGTTCTCGACTACGTCGTCATCGTTGCGTCGTCGTCATCGTCGTCGACGTCGTCGACGAATGTCCAACCGTGCAGGCTGTCGGAGAAAGTAATCACGTGCCATTCTTAGGAATAGACACCTTCGCGCTTTCCGCTAGTGCCTCTCATTATTACCCGTGGAACTTTGTCGCGAGATACATAATTGTTGACGTCCGTATCTCACGTTGCAGGATAGCTTTTACGATATAAATCTAGAGACAACAACACGCAAAAAGATTTAAGCTTGAGAAGATGCGAATCATAACTTCGTGCTTCGAATGTAATTGTACGATAATAATGAGAAACTTGTTCCTAATTTTTCAATCATTTCTAATTTACGAAGACATGTCGTACGTCCGATGAATGAGAACAAAACAAAAGTCTTAAAATGAAAAGAGCTACCTCATG